TATTTATTTAATAACTATTTATTATTGAAAAGAATTTTATTTAATTTATTTTTTTTTGTATAATTATTTTTAGTAATTGAAATTAATAAATTTATATATTATCATATTATGCACTTTATATAAAATATATTTATGTACAACTTTTTCTATACATATGTATTTAAACTGTTCTAACTTGATTATTTATTAACATTGTTCACCTTCTTCTATTTTTTAAAAAATTTAAGATTTAATAAACATATATTAATAAATACCCCTTCTATTTTTTCTATTTTTGAAAAAATTTAAAAGCTATTAAATATATAGTAATAAATATTCTCTTTAAATTTTGCCTGAAATTTTCAAATTTTCCTATGTTTATTTATTTAATTTGTTTAACTTAAGTCCCCTTTTCCCTTAATTTTTTCAAAAGGCCTGAACATTAAACAAATAATTAAATTGGATATTAGATTAGATTAGAATTTAAATTAGTATTAATTTAAAGTTAATGTTAAATTAAATTATTAAAGTTAAAGTTGAAGTTAAATTCAGAAATTTAATTAGAAATTTATAATTCATTAAAAATATTAATTTACTTTAATTCTTAATATAATAAAATAAAGTTTTTATTTTGTCATTTATAAAATATGTGTATTATGTATAATATATTGTTAGTTATAAATTTAATTGTAATATAAATTACATATTTGATTATCTTATATTTCAATATTATTTACTTATTTTTACACTTTTTTTATAATATTTTTTCTTTTTATAGTTATTTCTTTACATATATCACTCTTTTTTTCAATTATCTTTTTATTTAATTTTTATATAATATTTAAAATAAATAATTCAAAATTATTTTTCAATAATAATTCTAATGATGAAATTTTCTTTGATAATTTACAAATAGTATTCCAAGTAATAGTAATTTTAGTAAAGATGAATAAGACAACTTTCTTCCAATAATATAAGAATTTTATCTTTAAAAATTAATTTATTTTTTTTATTTGAAAGATTGCTTTTTATTATATTAAACTATAGGCTTAATAATAAGACTTTTTATTCATAAGAAATGATCTAAAAAGATAATCTCTTATTGTAAATCTTATATATACTATATATTAATTTACAATTAATACTTAGTATAAATACTTATTTATCATATATATACTGATAGTTTCTTTATCAACTTAAATACTTTTAATATCTCAATAAAATGGAATTGGATTTAAAAATATGATTCTCATCTGAATTTTATGGCCACTTATATTCATAATACACTTTAAATAAAAAAAGCAGATATTATTATATTATTATAAAGGAATTTGCAATAGTAAATTAAATAAAGTATTGAAATTTCATAAAACAAATAATTCTATAATATTTATTATAACATTTTATAATAAGCATTTTGAATATGATTTGAATCCTTTTACATGTTATTTAAAGTATTTAAAGTATTTACCAAACTTATATTAAATAATATAAGTAGATATATATATTAATCAAGTGTATGTTAAAGGCTAAATATAATAGAAAAGTCTATAATTAGAATTTTTATAAAGTAATATATAAATATTATATATTGTAATATTAATAATTCATTAAATAATAATATTTCATATTTTTTTAAATATTTTGAAAAACAAAAAGAAAATGATTCATATTAGATAATTATAAAAATTAAGACTATAAGATAAATATACTAATAAAATTTTTTTGGATAAATTCTAATTAATTAAAAATTTATAATTAATAATGTAATATTTAATAATAAAGCTTTTAAAATAAATTGTTATAAAATATCTATTTTCTTTTTTTATTTGCAATTAATAATATATTAAAAATTATGAATTGTAATTTAAACGTTAATGAAATGAAAAATAAAAGATGCATATATTTAAGTTTTACAATATATATTAAAAGCAATAAGACTCATATTAAAGGTTTTTGTCAATTATGAAATGAATGCTACTATTCAATTAAATATTTTTTAATATTTTCAATATATTGTATTTGGTATATTGGATAAAATTTACTTTTGTGATTTAAATTTAAATTAAAAGGACTTTTTAAATAATTTAAAAAGAATTTATTATAATTAATAATTTAAATAAAGAAATATTTGAATAACATTGGTTAATTTACTTACTGGTTATTCAAATACTACTAATTATTCAAAATTTTATGGACATGTGCAGCCAAAAAGTTGTGTATTTATTATTGTAAAAATGAATAAATGAGTACAATAACAAAAAAAATTGGGCAATCAAATTTTATAATAGTTTATATAGCAGTTTCACTTTAAATGTTAACTTGGTTAGAAATTCCTTTCTTTGAATTTTCAACATTTTCTTGTTTAGATTTCACTACAAACTAAAAAAGAAAATATTGAAAATTCAAAGAATAAGATAATTTCTAATAACCAAGTTAAAATTAATAATGAATAAGCGAAACTGTTACATGTACCATATAAAAAAAAATAATAAATATTTTAAAATGAATAATGCTAATTGATCCTGTATACATTAAATTCTAATAAACACACCAAGGTCTAAACAACAAAATTCTAACCAAGTTAACGTTAATAATGAAATAATTAAGCAAGTTTAGATCTGCTAGTGTTCATTACATTCGTAAAATCCATCATATACGCTGAAAAAACTGAATGTGGCACCACCGTAAGTGACCTTCAGCAAATGTTGTAAATCTTGATGGCCGTTTGTAATTTATTAGTTGCATTGGTGTCTGCTCTTGCTGAGAGATCAAAGTTTTATGAATGTAGTGACAAGTTTTTTATCCTCATCTTTTTGATATAATTCGCGTAAATCATATGGATAAAACCCAACCAAAATAAAGAACGGGTCTTACAGACCTAGAACTAAAAAAGAAAATGGAAAAGAGAAAGAAGTCAATCACATTGCCTTCGCCCATGTCTTCATTTGCCATGGTTATACGATTATACACCAGAAAAAAAATTTACATTATACAAACAATGTTGCCTCATAAAGTTGTTTTCATGAATACAGAATATAAGTAGTTTTGCAAATACTTGAACTCTTCTTTAATGTTAATTTCCATATGAAATCTACTCATAAGTATGTTCAGCCTTTTAGTTTAGTTTGTGTTGGGGTATCCTTAATGGCTTCTTTCATACTATTTCGTCTGTTTCAATCATAAACCTATTCGTAACATTGTCTCGTTTTTTGGAGACAGAAGTACCGATCAGCAACACAAGTCAACTATTTTTATTTCATTATATAAATAATATTACGTAATTTTTCAGCTGATCTAGTTCCGAATTTGGCTAATGTAGTGGTGGATTAGTTGGATTAGTGTATGATCACGTATTAGCAATCATTGTTTTTGAGTATATGACCATACTCACCATTGGTATATTCAAACGTTGGCATAATAATACAATAATACTTTATAAATTTCAGTACTTGATTTTCAATAAATATTTTTTTTATTTATTTTTACTTTATATTTTATCTATCAAGTAATTAGTTCAATTGAAAAAAAATTTAACTTATTTTAAACCCATACAATGAGAATTCTAATGATTATAATCTTTTAAACTCAAAAATTTTCTGTTTTTTTACTATAAACGGCAATAATTTACCCAGACCAACCAATCTATATTAAAATGTTGATACAAAAAAAAAAAATGTCTAAATAAAAATAAATAAATAAATAAATTATCAAGTGTTTTACGATAATCTAAACTCAAAATCACAATTCAATATTAAATTAGTTTTCTTTTGCCAACAATTTTTCTGAAAGATAATGAAAATTTAATAAAACATCGCTTCGCTTCTTTTTTATAGTAATAAGTTTATATTCCTCTGCTGGATTGGTACCACCAGAGCTACCAATATTAATCTCCAAGGAACTTTCAGGATCTTCATAACTAATGCTTTCAAAATCTTTGACCTCAGGAGAAAATATGATTGACACTAGTGAAAAATCAAGATGTTGAGTACTTTTATAAAAACAATCAAATTCTGTCATAAATAATTCAGTTATTATCTTCTTAATCTTAATATTTGATGGTAAAACTGACATTTCCGATTCATTGAAATTACACATTTCTGCCACCTGCATGAACTCTAATCTTTTTAAATTTCTTAATTTAGAAAGCCATGGTAACGCCAACTTAGTTTTTCCAGAGATGGATAGGGTTTCAATTTTAGTGCAATATGTTACTAAAACCTCCGAGATTTCATGGGAAACATCATCAATATCTAATTCAACCAGACTTTCTCCCGCTTTTTTTAATATTGACGCAGTAATGTGGGGTTGAAATTGATTCAAAGATAATTCCAATTTTTTTAGATTCGAAAATTTGGCATTAGGATCCATATTATGTAATCCTTTACAGTAACCCATACCTAATAATTCTAATTTACAACATTTTTCGAAAAAACTAAATGACATTCCACTAAAGTGTACATTATCGACATTTAAATGTATCAATGAATTAGCATGAGCTTTCAGTGATGATGTAATGATGTCTTTGGCAGGTAAAAACTTATCCTCTCCTCCTATCAAATTAAAACCTTTCAGGTTTTTTTGATTTTGTACAAAGGAGATGATTTCTACAGAAGATTGAGAAATTAAGTCATTACTATCACTTGCTTCATCAACAAAAAAACAAACTTCATCGAGATTTTGAAAAACAATTTTAAGTTCACGGAGGAATCTTCTAACTTTGGATAAAAAACGAGGTTCTTTCAATGTCAATGTAGGAAAAGATATTGAAAGATTTTTTATACTTGAAACCCTTGAACTTCCACCCAAGAAAACTTCCTTGATTTTCCAGCAATTTTCAACATCGAGTTCAATTGCCAATGATTCTAAAGCACTTTTTTCGGCAAACATCTTGAATAAATAAAATTCTAATTTACTAGTAATAGTTTTTTTCTTAGGATCCTCACTTCCATATTCACAATCGAACCAGTGATTTACAGCTTTGTTTAAGGATTTGAAAGAAAATTCTTTTAAGTATGTTTCATACTCAAAGAGTGGTGACATGGTCAAAAATCTCCCAGATAAAAGTAAACTACGGTCATTATCATTTTGCCAACCATGAAAACGTTTGTTCAAACAAGAAATGTATGTTGATATAAATATATTGGATTTCGCTTCTTTTTGAAAGGTAGTCTTCCAGAGAAAAGGTGCTGCAATAACACAAAATCGTCTATTTACGTATAGACAAGAATATAATGAATTTCCATAAACGTCAGTATCTTTTAAAAGTTTAAATATTTCATAAATAATATCGTCTGTAAAAACGCTAGACATTTTTCTAAAAGGTTTTGTTACGCATTCATAAACGGATAAAAAAAAAAACTGAACTGTCAAGACAAATGTGAAGATTATAGGAACATAAAAATGAAATTCGCAATTTCAATGAAACTAAAATGATATATCTAAGAAAGAAAATGATTTAAATGATGTTAAAAATAGGGAATTGTACAATGGGGGACTGACAAATCACGTGGAAAGGGCGTTAAATTTGGTATGACAAGAATGACAAGAAACACATCCATTAATATTTCTTTCTTTTTTTTTTTTTGAAAATTTTTTTTGCAAGAAAAAATGAATAGCTTCTTAAAGCTTGCATAGTGGAATGAAAGATAGATTAAGTCCTGTGGATGGGTAGATGAACAGTTTGGATGATATTTTTATGTAATTACAATGTTGTGATGAAAAAAAAAGACATTTGGTGATAAATTTGGTTAAATAATAAAAAATCATCCAACTTAACCAAAATAAGACTAGTTAATATTTCTTGTCATATCACGCTTATAAAACTCTGGTGAAAAAATTTTTTTATGCTTACCTTTCCTTTTTTCAACCGAATATTTTCCAAAAAGAGGGTGAACAAAAGTGAAAATGAATTGAAACGAATGAATAGGCTTTTTTTAGTATACTATCCCCCCTTTCAACATTTCTTTTGTGACACGAAATTTATAAAATAAATAAATCTGTTATTTTTATTTTTAAAATATCATAAATCTCATTTAAATAAATGTATACATATATATCACATTATATATATCCTTATCATTATCAGATTATTAATATCAATCACAACTGCCAATTGAATCAGAGGTAGAATTAAGACAACAATTATTCAAAACATCTTCATGTTCAAAACTATTCTCAACACCTATTTTAACTTTATACATTTGTTGTAAACCACCCCAACCAAATTCTTCAACTTTATTACATTCCCAAGTACAACCTTGTACAGTAGTTGTCATATATCTACCAATTTCTTCACCAAATCTATCCAATATAGCATAACCTAACGGGGCAAAACAATCAAAGCTTTTTTGTAATTGAGTTTTAATAGTACTATTTACACTCGGGTTAATATTAAAATCTGATATACGTTCATTGTTATGAAATGATATCTCAAATCGAATTTGAAATTGCCTTTTAAAGAAAAATTCTTTTTTAAATTGGGATGAAATTGTTAACAATGTATTACTTAATGTAGAAGTGAATGAATCTATCTCGGTTGCAATCATTTTATGGCGAAGTGAAAGTAACGAAGGTGATAATGTTGTAGCTGAAAATGATGATGGTGGATATGTTGGAATTTTAAAATATTCTAATTCATCATCTAATTCTTGAGCCGTAATTGGAATTAATCCAATTGCTAAAATAAAGAAGAAGAATAAGAAGATTAAATAAGGAATCTAAAAAATGAAATAATTTTTTGTTGAAATAATTACCTTGTTCTATCGTCGGTACTTTTCCAGTTCTATAAAATTGCATTATGTAATGAAATAAGTGACCGTCTCGATCTAAAAAGAATTCATTTTCATGATTTGGATCAGCTAATGGATTTTGTTCATCACTATAATGATAAAATATTGAACCAAGTAAGGTTGTTGGATAAGAAGTTAAGGTGGACTTGAATGTTTCGTACTAAATTAAAATATATCAGAGAAATAAGAAATTTACTTTCAAATAAATAATAGTGGTTTATATATTTTATACCTTAATTCCTCCCACATTGAGGGTGATTTTATCACTTGCGAGAAGATTGTTATTATTTTCACCATCGCCGTTTGCTGTCTCGTTTGTTTGCATAGTTTATTCTTTTTGTGAAAAAATCAAAAGAGTTGGAGAGAGTTTCTGAATAGACAAGTTATTAATTATTCTAATATAGCATCGATTACAGATTTTTACGTCACACAAGCTTCATAATACGCCCATATCAATAAAATTTGGCTGAAATGATGATCGTATCGTAAAAAAAAAGAGTTTATTTAGGGAAATAACCCGATTTTTTTTTTTTTATTTAATGTAGGGTTTTATAGAGACCTTAACAAAGAAAAGATGTAAGAACATGTTGATATAATGCATCATCTGGATTATAGCCGGGAAATGCATTTTAATGTGATAAAAAAAGTCAAGTCTATTTTATTTATACATCTAGAAGTTTCTAGTTTATTTTACTTGTTTTATTTATTAAATAATTAATTATTTTTTTTATTTATTTTTTTTTTTTCTTATAGTCATATTATTTACAATAAAAATTCGATGAGAATTCTTAAAATATTTTGTACATAATCTGTGATTTTCCTCAGTTATCGATTCGTTTGGAGTGTGACGAAAAATACGAAATAAAAATTATCCCGACGAAAAGGGAATAAAGGTTAGTAGTAACTATATTTTAACGAAGTAGCCGATAAACAACAATTCTTAATTATTTCTTCGTAATCGAAATCATCGCATATTTGTATTCTCACACGATATTTGGAATCTAAAGAACCGGAATCATTATAATATTCAAACCAATTAAGGTCCCAACATAATCCCGGATAAGATTCTTCTAAATGTTCGCCAATTTTATCACCAAAACCATTTAATAATACATAAGCTCTTGTACCAAATGCAGGTTTATTTATAACTTCTGCTATTAATGGCACAGGAGATTTTCCTATTATCGTTGGTAATACGGTAATTGAGGGTTGCATACGATCTGACGCATAAAAAGAAATTTCGAGTGTTATATTAAAACCAACCCCCTTTGACATTATAAATCTTTTTTGAAAATATATTATCGCTCGATTAATCGCTGTTTTTAATGATGTAACGAGATCATCTAATTCAGCAGCTATTGTTCGACTTCTTAAAGATAATTGAGCAGTTTGTTTATTATTGGTACATTTTTTTGATAATAAACGTTTTGGTCGAGGTATCATGAAATAATCTAATTCTGCATCAAGTTCTTCTTGCGTTATAGGTATCGAGCATTTCACTTTTAAGTTTTTAAAAAGGAAAATTTAGTAAAGGAATAAAATACGCGAATCTCAATTATTGAACGCGTAATAATAATAACCTTGGTCTGCAGATGGGATTCTTCCGGTTCGATAAAATTGTAATATACAATAAAATAATCGACCATTTCTATCAATATAATATTCGTTACCATTTATTGGATGCAATAATGATTTATTTCGTTCTTCAAACATTGTGCCGAGCATCGTTTCAGGATATGCCGTTAGCGTTGATCGAAATGTTTCATACTAAAGAAGAAAAAAAAAGAAGCTTTTAGAAATTGCTGCGCCACATTGTACTACATCAAATTTTTTTTTTTTTTAAAAAAAAAACAATCCCTTCGCACAGACACTTACTTTAATTCCGCCAACGTTTAATATTATACGTTCTTTAGCGTTACATTTTATGTTTGACATTTTCGTTGTAGTATATAATTAAAACACAAAAAAAAATCACTATATTTCAAATAAAATAATAAATTTTAATCGTTGGATAATTTTTTATCAAAAGAAAAAAAATTTTTTTGTGTATGGAAGAAAAATATTTTGCTTTCATGGGGGTATTTAAATCAAAATTTGATATAATATAATAAATATAAAATAAATTTTTTTTTTTTTTTTTTTTTTTTTTTTTTTGATTAAATTAAATTAGTAACGCCAATTGATATAATCATATTTTCTTTCCATTATATCTGGTAATTTTATTTTTATTATACATAATATAATATATATATAAAACTTAATTCATAAAAAATGGCGAACTTTTTTGTATAATTTCAATATTTGATCAACTTATTCTGAAAGTAGTTTAACGCACAATGATCTACAAAAGAAATTTTATGATCCCAAGTTTTTCCTTTGTGTAATCATCACATTTAACATCATATTATAACAAGGAAATACATATGCAATATGACCGATATTCGTGTTCAAAGCTTTTTTTCTCTTTTTAGTCTTGTATTTTTTCTTGTTTCTTTTACGACACGTAAAATTTTCAATCGATCCAAAATAATTCATGGGCTAAATCGAGAATCTGATTGGACAGATAAAGCTCAAAAGCTAATTGGCCACGGGATTTACAGATTTGGTTAATAAAACTGAAATACCGGGGCTAACAAACTTGGTATTACCGCAGTCACGCCAAACTCTACTTTTTTTGTAGTACGTTAAATGTTAAAAAAAGATGAAACTTTATCAAAGAATTACACACAAAAGTCATTTGACAAACTAATCATCCCTTTTTTAATATTTTATTGAATTTCAATTTTTTTTTCTTATTTTCTTTTTTTTTCCTTTTTTTTTTTTTTTTTTTTTCTTTTCAATCATTTGAAATGATAAGAATAAAGAAAAATAATGTAATCGTCAAGATGACCAGAAGAAATGTTAATCCTAATCCTATATTGGATTAAATTCTATTTATAACGTAATAACTCAATATGACGAATTCTATTTATTCTTCTTAATAAAATGAAGATCTAGAATGAAAAATCTTTTTTTTTTTTGACACGAGGAATTCTGATTAGTGAATACTAAAATTATCAATTATGAAATTCAATCAATTTAACTAAACGGGTTAAAAAAATTGGATGAAACAAACAACGAGTTTCTATGTAACATGCGTATTTTCTGCATTTTACTGTGGTATTATATTAATGATCAAAAATTTTTAAATAATTAAAATTTCTCTATTGAAATCAGCCTTTTATATTTTTATATGAAAAAAAGGGAGGATCACAAATTAAAAAATCTAAAAAATCAAAAAATCTAAAATAATATTACAAATTAATTATTTTGGGATATATTTATATTAATATGTACATAGATCACATGCACAAAACTATTTGAGTTGCATTTGTTTGTATCCCCTTAATCCCTTTTTTTTGTGAAATGTTGCTTATCCATTTAAATTTAATGTTCTTTAAATATGCGGGATAAGACGTAAGCTAACAAACAGAAGATTATGAGATCATAAGATGTTTTAAGGTATCAAGGATCTGCATTATCTGCGTTATTACATTATCTATTATTTACTTATTATCTCATCCTTTAAATTTTCTCATAGTTATTTTAGTTGAAATATTTTTGCTATATAAATTAATTTTGGTAATTTTTTTGCTTTCATAAAAAAAAAAATGGTTGAAAATTCTGATTCAAATAAAAGTCATAACAAAAAAACTTTTAAACATCAAGATAATCTTCCAAAGTTACCAGTACCTCCTTTGGAAGATGCTATTAAAAGATATCTTTCTGCAGTTAAACCTCTTCAGGTAAAATATTGTTTTGATTTGACTTCAAAAAAATATTTTTTTTTTTTTTTTTTTTTTTTT